AAATTTTGGGGGTATGAGTCAATGTTTTCATACATATATACATTGTATAATTATCATGTCAGTTACATATCCATTACATCAAATGTCTATCATTTCTTTGTGGTGAAACATTCAAAATCTTTCATTTTTACAGTTCGAAATACACAACACGTTATTGTTAATTATAGTAACTGTACTGTACAATAGAACCCCACAACTTCCTCTATTTAGCTGTGCCTCATTCTCTTAGAACCAACATCTGAACTTTTTCTTCTTTGAGATAAACTTTGTAGATAATAGATATGAAGGTGATGAGGGAGTGTCTGACTTATTTTAGCTAAAGTGATATCCCTGCGGTCATCCATGTCATTGGAAAAGGGGGAATTTCATTTTTTATGGCTGAGTACTCTTCTCTTGTGTATAAATATTACATTTTCTTTGTACTGCCATCCCTTGTTTGACACTTAGGTTAATTCTACATCACCTTGACTATTAAGAGAGCTGAAATAAACATGCATATAACAACATCTCTGAGATGCTCATTTCATTTCCTTTGGAAGTTATTTTCAGTAGCGTGGTTGAAGTATAATATTGTCAGTGTGTTTTTAATTTTTTTGCGGAACCTTCAAACTCTACTGTAATGAATCTGCTAATGTACAATTCTACCAACAGTGTATAAGCAGTACTCTTCAATCCACATCCTCACCAGCACAGGTTATCTTTCATAATTTTTTTAAAAAGCTGTTTTAGCTAGAATGAAGTGATGGTTTATGATGTTTTTAATTTGCATTTGCCTGATAATTTGTGATGATTTTTTTCATCTACATGTTGTCTATTTGTGTGTTTTCTTTAGAAAAATGTCTCTTCAAGCCATTGCCCTTTTTTGATTTGTGATATTTGCTGAGTTATTTGACTTCCCTACGAATTCTGCATATTAGCTGCTTTTAAGTTAATATCTAGAAGATATCTAACAGATTGTGAGGTCAGGAACTTGAAGGAATGGAGTGTTGGGAAAATAAAGTGGCTCAGCCTCCCTTTCCCTCAACTGATAGGATTCTGCAAGTCAGTAAGCTCAGTAACTAGTGAGCCCAGTAACTGATAACAATTTTGCTATGTAACTGTTTGGCTTCCTGCCACTAGTGTCTATAAGCCTTTGTAAGATGCTGGGAGTATGGCTGAGCATAGATCTTCAGAGGCATGGACCCTCTGTGTGCTGCTATCCCACTGTTGCAAGTATACACAGGCATGTAGCTGCAGTCTTTTGCACAGCTGCTCTTTGGTCTGTCCAAATCCTAATCTGATATTGGAGCTGAGCTCTTGTCGTACAGAGACACAGAAAGATCTTCCATCTGCTGGTACACTCTCCAAATGGCCACAAAAGCCCGAATTGGTCCAGGCCCAAGCCAGGAGCCTAGAACTCCATGTGAGTCTTCCATGTGGGTGGCAGGTTCCCACGCACTTTGGCCATTAGCAGGGTGCTAGATCAGAAGCAGTACATCCAGAACTTGAACTGGCACTCTGATGTATGATGCTGGCATTGCAAGTGATGGCAAATTGTGACACACTTCTGGCTCTCTTAAATCCCCTTTCCTACTGCCCATCTATTGTCAGTAAATCACAGATCTTTCAATGTTTGTTTAGCCTCACCACCAAAATCAGTGGTTAGAATGCCACTTGCTCATTGTGGATCGGTTTCCCTAATGAACATTGCAATGAAGAGATAAAGAGAATCTGAACAAGGTTACATGAAGGGGTAGTAATAGCTCCTAGAGTTCTGGTTGCTAACTGTGGAGTCTGCAATGTTTCCATTATTATTAAACGTGGAGGTTAGGAGAAAAATCAATGACACCATCAGCCTGGAGTAGATGGTTGCAGTAAGGGTATTTTCCTGCCTGGGATATTACCATTTCTCTCACACAGAAATAGATGCAAAATCATTAATAGGACTCAAGTAGTTAGCTGTGTTGGATTGATCAACATTATTCATTTAAAGAATGCTTTGAGGTATTAAGCTTCTCAAGTAAAGTGACATTAATTGAGCCAATTATTTTAGATCCAGATTCCTTGCGGTAGATTCCAATCTACTCCATGGAGCTCAATCCTTCCCAGGGTTTATAACACAGAGAGTATATTAGTTTGTGTCCTTACACACTGGTTATGCTAATTACAATGCAGAAGGTATCTGTGTTCTCTAATCCTTATACAACCTCTTGATGGTACAAGCAGCTCATGTAAGCTCAAAAGGATAGATTACAAGGAGCCAGATAGTAGACCATTTGTCCTTCTTTGGTATGGCAGTTTTTCTAGCAGACAATGTAATTTTTGCAAGTTGGTTATGATTGGGAATAAAGACGCTTAGCCTTCAGTTAGGACATCATGGTGATCTTGTAGACTCATTCTGAAAGGGCAGAATAAGACTCATCATCTACCTCAGCAAATTTCAGGCCAAACTGGAGAGGTTGTACCCATTGCACTTCTCTGCGTTTGAGGTATGGAAGAAAACATTATACTTGGCTTAGAACACATTCTTTGAGCTTCCTGCAGTAAAATATTAATTTCTCAGAAATGTGTATGTTATTGCTCATTGTCACCAAAGTCAAACTCAAGATCCTCATGGACTTTTATTAATAAACAGCAAATGAATGACAGACTTATTTCTTATGTAATTTATATAGGTAGGAGAAAGCAAGCTAAGTCAGGTTTGACTTGGACAGACAGCTAAGGACAGGGGACGCATAGAGAGGAGGGTGGCCTCTGCCTCTGGTTATTAACAATACGAGGGCCTGAAGAAGTACAGAGAATATGCCTTCCACAAAGGGTGTACTCTCAAGACACATTCTTGGCAAAAATCCAGAAAGATTATAAATGCAAGCCTGTGGTCATAAGCTGGCATGCCCAAGGCATAAACAGTAAGTTAAGAAGGGACTCGTTAAAGCATAGTTAACACATCTAGAGACTGAGACTGACCAAATCAGAGGAATGGGGGATAAGAAGGCAGGACAGTTGGATTGAAAAACAAAATATGAATCCTAGGTAACTATTGACAAAGGGCCCCGTGCAAATTTTTCAGAAGGTATGAAACCCCTTGATCATGTCCTTTCAATGGCTTTTTTTATGTTTTTTTTTTTTTTTTTTCTGAGAAAAGCCCCTCTTGGCTGCTTTCCCAGGAGTTTCCAGTCTCTTTCATGTCAAAAGCCTTGCTTCACTCTTCACTATGTCCATGATCTTCATTCTTCTTCTGCATGAAACAACGAACCCAAGTGGCTATGAGCATTGGCTTACACCTGCTTCATAACCAGCTTTCTTGGGCTGGATAGGAATACAGCTAGAATGTGACCATTGCACAGGACCTGAACATCGCTTAAAGATTTCTTGCAGGTGCTGTGAATAATGATCACATACAAGGAGCTGATAGTTTTCTTCCAGAGTTCCCTCCTAGGGATAGGGATGACGGAGAACCGAAGAGTCAAACCATTAATGCAGGTACAGCCACTTGACCACTTCTTTCCTGAGCCATAGTTATCTTCAAGGGGCATACATCCAGCCTTTAAACTTATAAAGGGTGACAGAACTAAGTAACTGGTGTCACTTCTATGTTTTCATTCTGTTCATATTGCCAACACATGAGCCTATTTTCATTTCTTTAAGTGTCTGACATCAAAAATGATCCAATTTGATTGAAGCAAGTAAGTGGGATATGAATTCTCTGTAAGCCACTGAGGTAAGGTCATTATTGCTCAATAACAGAACATTGGGGGCCGGCTCCACTCCTGATCCAGCTCCCTGAGAGTGGGCTGTGAAAAGCAGCGAAGGATGGCTTGAATGTTTAGGTGCCTGCTACCCACATGGAGATCCCTTAATAAGTAGCTACTGGCTTCAGCCTGGCTCAGCCCTGGCTGTTAAGGCCATCTGGGGAGTGAACTAGCAGATGGAAGATCTCTCTCTCTCTCTCTCTCTGAAACTCTTTCAAAATAAATAAATCACACACACACTCCAAGAGACAAATAGAACATTGCCCAAAACTGGACACAAAGGACATATTTCAGGAGAAAAATTAAGGTAAAATGGAGTGAATCTGCAGTGGTAATGAGATGCCCAAGTAGGCAGTAGAGAAAAATATCTGGGGATATATTTTGGAAGCATTAGCAAGAGAGAAAACTCACTTTCCAATCCCCTATCAGTTTATTAGTATTTAACCATAAATGGAAGATGCTGATATGTTACTATACATGGTTTTTGTTCCTATACAGTAATAAAAATGTTATAATTCTTGATTCTTCCTTTCATTAAACTCTAAGCAGGTAATCCAAAATAATTCTACCAGAATTTTAATATTCATGTTACAATAGTTAGTGCCTGTCCTATAACTAAATTTAGTTGAGGGCTGGCGCCGCAGCTCACTAGGCTAATCCTCTGCCTGCAGCACTGGCACACCAGGTTCTAGTCCCGGTAGGGTGCCGTTTCTGTCCTGGTTGCTCCTCTTCCAGTCCAGCTCTCTGCTGTGGCCCAGGGGAGGGGGGGTCAGTGGAGGATGGCCCAGGTCCTTGGGCCCTGCACCCACATGGGAGACCAGGAGGAAGCGCCTGGCTCCTGGCTTCAGATTGGTGCAGCGCTGGCCATGGTAGCCATTTGGGGGGTGAACCAACGGAAGGAAGACCTTTCTCTCTGTCTCTCTAACTCTGCCTGTCAAAAAAAAAAAAAAATTTTTAGTTGAGATTTTAAAGGTGATACTCTTGTCTACACAGCACACATTTGAAACGACAACTCAGGATGTGTCAGGAGATTTCAAGGACTTGTTTGGCACTGTATCTTTTTGACCAACTTTAACAGTTCTTTTATTTTACCATGACCTGAATTATTGAAATTCAATTAAAAAAACCAGATTAGTGAACATGAGAATATCTAAAATGTCTGATTTCGTTTTCAAATTTCAAGTTTCTTCTAGCATTTGAAGTAAAATATACAAATATATACTTAAAAATAAATAGATTTTAGAGAATTAAAATTGGAGAATAAAACTCTCAAAGACAAAAAGTTTTAATGATTTTTAAATATGTAGCACAGGAAAAACAAAAAACTGAAAATTATGCTAGACTGTGGTAGATACAAACAGCCTGAGAGAAGTTTTAAATTTTTAAGTATGAATGACATACTTAAACAGGTGAATTTCTAAGCCTTCTAGTTGGTTTACTTGTTAAAGATCAGCTGGAAGTGATGGAAAGAATAATAAATATGTTCTGTAGTTTTTACATTGTACTGTAGTTCATGTAATACTATTTCAAGATAATTTCCTTACAAACTTAAGCTATTCTTGATTGTTAGAGACATATACACATTTCCTGTATGAATCACAATGAAATCATTTAAGGATAAGGTAAACAGTGCAAGAATTAAAGAAAATGCTGATAAAGTTAATGTGTTCAAAGATATATTACTTTCTAATTAGACAGCAACATATTTTTCTCTTTAACATCATTCTAAATTGCAAAGATGTGAATTTAGAAAGAAAAACCTTCATCTTTTTGGATTTGAATATCTGAACATGAAAAGATAAAGTTACATAATGCAGATTTTAGCTTGTCATTAAGATTAGATGGAAATAGACTAATATTTGCTTTAAAACCACTAGTTTGTATTTTTATAATCAAGAATTCAGTTATTCTGTTTGTTAAAATGTATCTCTATTCTTGTACATAATAAATACTTAAAAAGTACTATGCAACATGCAAAGAAATATTCAACCATTGTTTTTCCTATAGACATGGTTCACGTCATGACTCTTTCAATTGGCATAATTATTTATATAAATATTTATGTATAACTATAAAATTATTGAAAATGACTAATTTTATATGTAGTCTATTTATCTTCTAAAATAAATGCACCAAAATTGGGAACTTGATATGAACAACAGTTATTAAATATCATACATTAATGAAATATCATATTATTCCATTTACCTGTTCACTATCAAGTTAAATTGTTAAATATATTCTCTCAAACTCTCCTTGCAAAAGAGTTGAGCATAAATACAACACAACTAATATTCATGATATACAATTAATAAGTAAGAAGACGCAGGTAGCCCTGTGTATATAAAATCACATGGAAGGGAAATGACCTAAAAGCTAGTTCTATGATAATTATCTTTCCTTTGGTATTATAGTCCTAAGTCCTAGTTTTATGAAATAAAACTGTAGGAGAGAAAGGCCCAGAACCAACATATTTAGACATAAAAATTTAACAAAGTCTGCTTATTCCGTCTCTAATAGTAACAACACATAACTTTTAAATATCTGCACAAATTTCTTTCAGAAAATCCACTGCTCCATAACTAATCTCAATGTATCTGTAGCTGAGCATTTTAGATGATAATTTAGGGAGGATGGTTCCTGGTTCGCAAATGTATAATAAACATCTTTTGAAGAACAGTTTATAGACTTTCATAATTAATTCTAAAAATTCCATGAAGTGCATTCCTAGTTGATAATGGGTCAAAAATATCACAACAAATAGAAAAAAGTAATACATTACATTGCCTTTACAAAGCTTCTGTCATTCAAGGAAAATAGTCAGATATATCATATTGTTATATATTTCAAAAATGACAAGCCAGTCATGAAACTGGTTATTGGATAGAATACAGTTTTTGTAAGAGAATTAAAATGAGGGCAGACACATTTCATTCGAAGGTCATGCTAATATTTTTTCTTCTTCTTACACTTCCGGAACTTCTGGCTGTATTCATTTCCTCTATTGTTTTCTGAGCTGCTGTCACTGTCACTGGGTGGTTTTTGCCTCTTTCGTTTACTCAGCTGATAGAGGTCAGAGTCACTTGGTTGCTGGTGAGTCCATTCGTAAGAGCTGGGGCCAGCCTCCAGGTCTGGAACATGATTGAGTGAGGAAGACACGGGCGCGCTGCTTGGAAGTGGAGCTGTCATCTCATAGTAAGGAAGCTGTGGCACTGGATTATGTGTGAACCATTGCTGTGAAAAAAAGACACCCATCTACTGAAACAAATCCAAAAAGTTGAGACAAAGTTAACAGCTCATGTGGTTTATACAAATAGCCATGAGTAAACCACCAGACAATACAGCTATTTTCGTGAAGACAGACACTGACTTATCATGGTAGGGATGTAGGAGTTTCCTTAAATGGTTAACATAAAAATGTTTGTACCTTAATCCAGTATCCATTAGCCCTGTCCAACAGAAATAATGCAAAATATATATGTGGTTTGAAAACTTCTAATAGCATATTAGATAATATGTATGTAACCAATTATATGATTATAGATAATATGTATGTAATAATTAATATGTATGTAACATATAATATTTAACCCATATGAAATTATAAGATGTTTTACCTTTATTTTCACACAAAGCCTTCAACTGTGGTATGTATTTAATACTACAGCACAACTCAGTTTGGATGCTAAAACTTGATTAGACTTTAATTATATAAAATTTAAAGTTGAAAAGTATATTAATATACTCAAGTAATTTCGTATTTACTTAAAAATTTTCCAGTAACTGAACCACGTATAAATTTTTAAATTTTAATTTAAATTAATTAAAATTAAATAAGAATTTAAAACTCAGCCCCAAAGGTACATAAATGGTCCCATTTTAGTACAACACAGGTACTGATTATTAAATAAAGAGAGATGCTTTTTTTTTTTTTAACAAAACAAGTCCTTAACTCAAATTTCTAACTATTCAAAGCAGTTCAAAGGACCTGGAACCAACCCAAATGCCCATCAACAGTAGACTGGATAAAGAAATTATGGGACATGTACTCTATAGAATACTATACAGCAGTCAAAAACAACAAAACCCGGTCATTTGCAACAAGATGGAGGAATCTGAAAAGCATCATCCTGACTGAATTAAGCCAGTCCCAAAGGGACAAATATCATATGTTCTCCCTGATTGGTGACAACTAACTGAGCACCAAAGGGGAAACCTGTTGAAGTGAAATGGACACTATGAGAAACAGTGACTTGATCAGCTCTTGTCTTGACTGTTGATGTACAATGTAATACTTTATCCATTTTAGTATTTTCTCTTTGTTTTGTTCTAGTACTATTGGTTGAACTCTATAATTAACACACAATTATTCTTAGGTGTTTAAATTTTAACTGAAAAGTGATCCTTGTTAAATATAAGAGTGGGAATAAGAGAGGGAGGAGATGTACAATTTGGGACATGCTCAATCGGACTTGCCCCAAATGGTGGAGTTAGACTCATGCCAGGAGATCCCAATACAATCCCGTCAAGGTGACATGTACCAATGTCATCTCAATAGTCCAAGTGATCAATTTCAGTTCACAACTGATCACACTGATAGGTCTAAGAGTCAAAGGGATCACAAAAAAAAAAAGACTAGTGTCTGCTAATACTAACTGAGAGAATCAAAAAGGGAGAGAACGATCCATCGTGGGAAGCAGGATACACAGTAGACTCATAGAATGGCAGATGTCCTAAACAGCACTCTGGCCTCAGAATCAGCCCTTAAGACATTCGGATCTGCTGAAGAGCCCATGAGAGTATTTTAGGCATGGAAAGCCAAGACACTCTGGAAAAAAAAAACAAAAAAAAAAACCAAAAAAAAAAAAAAAACAAAAAAAAAAAGAAAACCTAAATGGAAGATCTCTGCGAGTGAGATCTCAGTGGAAAGAACGGGCCATCAAAGAAGGAGGTACCTTTCTCTGAAGGGAGGAGAGAACTTCCACTTTGACTATGACCCTGTCGGAATAAGATCGAAGTCGGCGAACTCAAAAGGCTTCCATAGCCTTGGCAACTCATGACTAGAACCTAGGGTGATTACTGAGGCCATAAACAAGAGTGCCAATTTGTTAAGTCAACAACAGGAGTCACTGTGTACTTACTTCTCATGTGGGATCTGTCCTTAATGTGTTGTCCAATGTGAAGTAATGCTATAACTAGTACTGAAACAGTATTTTACACTTTGTGTTTCTGTGTGGGTGCAAACTGATGAAATCTTTACTTAATATATACTGAATTGATCTTCTGTATATAAAGAGAATTGAAAATGAATCTTGATGTGAATGGAATGGGAGAGGGAGCGGCAGATGGGAGGGATGTGAGTGGGAGGGAAATTATGGGATTTAAAAAAACCTAAGGCTCTTATCTATAAAATAAGGAATTCAAAGGAAAAAAAGAAGTTCTTGTTTAACAACAAAAACCACCACTAAGACATCCAGGGGCAGGTGCTATGGTGCAACAGGTTAAGCTACTGTTTGGAATGCCCATAGTCCTTACTGGGGTACTGGTTTGAGTTCCAGTACTCTGCACTTCCTATCCAACTTCCTATTTAACATTCCTTGGAGGCAGCTGATGACAGCCCCACTACCCAGTGTGTGCATTGCATGCAGGAGATCTGGATGGAGTTCCTGGCTGCTGACTTCTACCTGGCCTGGCCCAGACTGTTGTGGGCATTTGGGGAGTGAACCTGCAGATGGAAGATTCTCTTTCTCTCTCTCTCTCTCTCTCACCCTCTGCCTATCAAGAAAGCAAATAAGTCTTTAAAAAGAAATTCTAAACCAGGGGTAGGCATTTGGCACAGGACTTAAGTTGCTGCTTGGGATTCCCATATCCTGTATCACAGTGCTTGGGATTGTGACTCGCTTTGATTTCTAATGCAGTTCCCTAGTACTGTGCCTGGAAGGCAATAGATGATGGCTTGGGTTCCTGGCACCAATGTGGGAGCCTGGGGTAGATTTCCCGGCTCCTGCTTTGACCTGTCCAAGCTCTGGCTGTTGAGGGTATTTGGGGAGTGAACCACTGGATGGAAGATCTCGATTTCTCCCCCTCCACTACCTCTGCTTTCCAAATAAATAAATAAAAAAATAAAACTTTAGGGCCAGCGCCGCAGCTCAATAGGCTAATCCTCCACCTAGTGGCACCGGCACACCAGGTTCTAGTCCCAGTCAGGGCGCTGGATTCTGTCCCGGTTGCCCCTCTTCCAGGCCAGCTCTCTGCTGTGGCCAGGGAGTGCAGTGGAGGATGGTCCAAGTACTTGGGCCCTGCACCCCATGGGAGACCAGGAGAAGCACCAGGCTCCTGCCTTCGGATCAGCGCAGTGCGCCGGCCGCGGCGGCCATTGGAGGGTGAACCAACGGCAAAGGAAGACCTTTCTCTCTGTCTCTCTCTCTCTGTCCACCTTGCCTGTCAAAAAAATAAAATAAAATAAAACTTTAAACATAAATAAACTTGTCTTTAAAATTTTTTTCTAGACCAGAACCAAACTTTGAGATTCTCTAGAAGTAATGTAGTTTATCAATTGAGAACTGTCACAGTTTTGTCTTTAAAAAGAGAAATTTTTTAAACAACCTATGTCCAATAGCAATCTATCTGTTATTGATGATAACATATAAAAATATGTCACTAAGTGAAATTATTCAATTCTAAAACCATCGTTTAATGCAGTCATTTAAATGAGAACTCTACTCAGGATGAACTTGAACCACAGTGTTTAATCACTACCATCTGGCCCTTTCGGCTGCTGCACTGGCTGGCTGGTAAGGTATTGTGTGGGGGATTTAAGTGATTATGTTAGCGCAGTGCATTACCAGGGCCCAGTCTCGGGGCATCGTTTGCCTTCAACCTAGATTAAGATTTGAGCATCAAATGTTACAGAGGGTGTTCATGTTCTTCATAGTTTGCATCATATTACAAACTGAGCCAAACACATTTCAAACTCACCATCTTCTGAAAGTAAAAGGATTCTTGAGGCACAGCAGCATTATTAATTGGAAAAAATTGCATGGGAAAGGATGATCTGCCCATCATTTCTTCATTCCTTTGGGGAAGTAAAAGAAGAAGCAACACTATGTTAAAAATCTTATGTACCAATGTCATTTTTTCTCTTAAGAAAGATAGATTTTGATAATTATAAAGAGCCTCTTTGATAGCATTTACTTGAGATTAATTAAATACCTTAAATGCAACACACAAATAGTCAATTACATGGGTAAGATGGTGATATAACCCAAATTACACACTTATTAGAAAATAAAATCTCATATATTAACAGCCACATTTGACAGGAAAATGTTGGATAACATTACATTTATATAAAACAATGAATACTTATATATTAAGAGAGGAAAGCAAATCATTAATGATCACGGAGGGTACCTTTGATTTTCTCCAGACATAGAGTACAAAAAAGGTGAAGTTTTCATCAATCTATATTTAAATATATTTTTATGTTTAATGATAAACATTATGCTCTTTCCCAAATAGACTGCTGATGTTAACAAGTGCATCTACTTGCTGACGTCTTCCACATATCAAGATCAAAAATTGCTAATTAAAAACTGAGTTGTTCCAAAGTTTCATTTATAAGGGTAATATTTGTTTCTGTGGAAATGGTCAGTAAATTTCAATGTTACCAATACTGGCTAGATTTTATTGCTACTCTTCAATATTCTATTTGCTCCATAGTTTGTCATTTGTTTAATGTTAGGGCTACCAATCCTTAGGATAGGAAATGGACTGTGGGCAAGGTTAAAATCTGCACAGGCAGGTAGAAGCAAACATAATAGAAAGAGAATAAGCAAAAGGAGTCAGATGAACAGTCATATCTCACCTCATTTCTAAGTAGTGAGACTATTACCATAGAAGCCATGGGAAACATGCATTACATTAAAGAAGGATATGTACAACTTTAATGTGCCGATTAAAAATAAATACGTAGTTATGAAAGAAAAGAATTCGACAAGTGTCTGTTGTTAAAGAGCAATACATTGAACAAGCATTGAGGCCACCACACTGCTGGTCAGAGGTTCCTATAACCTTCAAAGAGCAATTTCCATGTAACAATAGGGTTGAGAAGTGAGTGGGAAGAAAAGATATGATGGGTGAAGATTTTTCAGTGTGAGGAAGCAGAAAAATATCACATTCTTATTTGGAGATATGGTTCAGAGAGATCGGAACGTGTATTGGGGAAGTACTGGCAAAAAAAAATGAAATTCTGAACGATGTTACAGAGTGGGGAAGATGCGACTTGGAAGCACAGGTGGTGAAACTAGCACCATTATGTTAACAGCGGGAGAGTCTCTAAAGCGGTCATCTTATGTGAATCTTGGGGCATACACGGCTGTCTGCCTGGGGGAGACACATACAATCAGGAACTCTCATGGACTGAAGTGTTACCCCCAAAGTTAGCTGTTCAAATCCTAACCCCCAGTTTCTGAGAAAGTGACATTATTTGGAAATATGGCCACTACGGATGTCATTAAATAATACAAGGTCATATGGGAGCACAATGACCCTTAATCCAATATGGCTGGTGTCCTGAAAAGAGGAAATTTGGAGAGCAATGCACCCTGTCAGAACACCAAATGAAGAGAAAGGCAGAAATTGCAGTAATGCTGCTACTAGCCAAGTAATACAAGATTGCCATTGAACCACCAAACTAGAGAAGAGGCATGGAGTAGATTCTCCCACACAGCTGTCTGAAAGAACCAATCCTTCTGACACTTTCATCTTGGACATTTAGCCTCCAGGATTGTGAATCAATAAATTTCTCTTCCTTATGCCTTGTGTTTCTGGTATAGGTTAAGTTTCCCTTTGGAACCAAAAGTGTTTCAGATTTCAGATGTTTTCAGATTTTGATATTTACATAAATTTTACCAGGTGGACATTCCTAATCCTAAAATCTAAAATATGGAATGCTACAAAATCTAAAACTTTTTAAGCATCAAAATTTGATTTTGGAACATTTCAGATTTCCAATTTTTGGATTAAGGATGCTCAGCCTCTATTTTACTACACCAGAGAAAACTAACATAGAAACGATATTCATTGAAAAGTAGAAGGTAGGAGAGGCAAAAAGAAGCCCAAAACCTCAATTCCAAGGAAGACTAAAGACTAAGATATTATAAGGACACCGTTTTTCTCTGTGTGTCATTTGTAGGACTTGATAACCTATTCTCATACTTCCTCTATAGTTTAATAAATATCTGCAGAATAAAGTACTGTGAATGAAATGCAGTATCAAGCAACATACATATAACTCAGTACTACCTGAAATCTGCGTTGATTTAGAAACAGTGTATTAAACAACAGTAGAGAATATGAGGATTTTACTGCCATCTTGTAGTGCCCATCTAGACTTTTTTCCTTTGCTTAAATCCTACTAACATCTTGTTCCTAACACCTGAGAAAAAAGAGGTATATTTTCCACTCAAAAAACAGTGGAAGGTCTGATATTAAACATGGCTCAACCTGTAAGTCTACACTGCTTTGCTGAGCAGAGTGGTAAATCTCCCCTTTTCTCCAAGCATCCTGCTGAATCCTTACTATGTGGCCAGCATTTTAAGCGTTCTGCCTTTATTATAAAATTTGACTTTCATTGTAAATTTTTCAGGTATTATCTTCCTTTGAGAGACGGGGGCATAGAGAAGACAAAGAACTTGAGCAGAATCACACTGTTAATGAGACGGCGGGGGTAGAATTTAAATTCAGGCAATTTCATTTCAGCATCTACGTTCTTCACTTCTTCTGAGTTCACTGATACAGAAATGCTGACGAGCATGAAGATGTGAGCCCACTGCATTCCGTCTGGGGGTAGGACGCTTCTCCAGACGCTAAGCCACTCTCCCATGCTTCAGAATGCTAATATAATGAACAGAGTTGGGAGGTGCTGCTATTATTAGCTACCCTGATAATATTCAGTTCTGCGGTAGAAGACAAGAAAACAAACAGGATGGATGAAACACCTAAGAAATACTTAGTGTAGAATATAAGTATGCTAGTAGTTTCTGTGATAGTGATAAAACTGTGGTAGGGGTAAGAAAAAGCAAGTAACCTGTAAGACATGGGCAGAATTCATAATATGTGTTAAATATAAATAGTAAATAAGTTACTTTCCCATAAAATAAGCAGATTCCTCTATCTTTATCTCCTAAGATAGATTGAATAGAAAATATGATGGAAATAAATAGGACTGTTACTTTCAGGTGCAATGGGGAAATACCAAGATCTGATAATCGTAAGATAAGAGTCGACAGACAATGTAGTTAAGCAAACAGGAATATACTTATGGATAGAATGAATACCAAGATCTGATTATGGCAGCTCTTGGCTAAAAGCTATGCCCCTCTTCTTTTCTTCACTCTGCCAGCTAAATTTGGATAAAACTAGCAGCCATCTAGCAGGCAACCCAGCAAGCTACTTCTGTGGCCAGGTATGACTGCCCTTACGACTTACTGAGAGAACAAGTGAGTCATCTTAGTTCTAGGAACATCCCACCTGACTGGATACCCTGTCTTGAATTCAACTCCTCTCCTCATAACCATGCTGTCAACGCGGAAGGCTGATGCAGCAGAGAAACAGAGTATGTGATTATTAGTGTGACCAGAGTTCAGCTAGCTGTTCCCTCTGCTCACCTGTACCCTACTGAAAGTGTGCTAACCTCTCTCTTTCCTCTTGCTTTCCATTGTGTCATTTAAATGGGCTTAATAAAGTGTGATTTGAACATGTTAATTTAATTGGAAAGCCTTTCTGTTCAGTGACCTCTCGAGAGTTTGCCATATAGTGCATTTGGAAGCTACTGTTGCATAGAGAAATCAGGCTACACAGATTTCTAGAATATTATGGAAAATTAACAGAGAAGTTCTAAAAATAGTAAAATAAATAGTTAAACAGCTTAATCTCAGAAGTCTTAGTTTCAAGGCTAGCATATTATCATCCATGTGACCTTGAGGACTGGTTAACATTTGCATCTGCATGCACTCAAATAGAAAATATGAGTAACAGTATCTCTATAATCCATCACAGTAAGACCTTGTATACTTAAATGATTTAGTAACTATAAAAAGCAAATCAAAAACTATAAAGAACCTGATGAATGCAAATCTCTCCCACCTACTGCTGAAAATATTAAGGGTGAAATTTAATGAAAGTATTTTCTGTCACTTTTCATGAGGTCAGGAGAAAATGAATTCCTTAATTTTTTCCTATGTCTAAATAGTAAAGTTTTATAATACCTCAGAATATATATATATATATTTACTTGTTTTACCTTTATGAAAATGTATTTTTTAATTACCTGTAGCTATGTGAATTTATCTTAACACAGTTCTCAAAACTTTGGTTAGCTGGTTCAGAAGAGCGTGAACTTCCTTTAAAAGAAATAAAAGAATAGTTTATGGTGAATTTTTTGGAGTTCTAATATTAAACTATAGACTAACTGAAATCGTTTAGCACTGAGTATTGATTTAAAAATCCCATGCTGATGTTAGATGTATTCACATCATTTTTCAAGTAATATTTACAGATTACATATATTACTATAAATGAATTAATTATAATCAAGCTTTGTCCAAAGCCATGGTCAGATACAGGAGTCCATAAGAATTATGTTAACTTGGGTATATATGAGTATAAGGTATGTGGAGTAATTTTGTTCCACACATTGAACAAAAATGGCAACAATCTATATTACTTTCCTCCAGCATAGAAGATCTGAGTTTTTTAAACTGCACACACAAAAGACAATTCTATTTTATAAAGGACACATCAGAATGTAACATGTCCTGGCTGACTTCTACCAGCCTGCCTGAGATAACTGGACAGTACCAGACAGCATGAAATAATCAGATATTTTTAAAAATGCAAAGAGAAGCACTTTTCTTTTGTGGAGGGCATTGTGTTTATTATGCTTTTTTTTCTATTTTATTTTTTTAAAAAACTTTTATTTAATGAATATAAATTTCCAAAGTACAGCTTATGGATTACAATGGCTCCCCGCCCCCCATAATGTCCCTCCCACCTGCAACCCTCCCCTTTCCCACTCCTTCTCCCCTTCCATTATATGTTTGCTTTTAGCAAATGACAAACAAACCAGCAATACAATCAGTAAGCTTGAACCATTTAGGGGAGGCAATAGAAGTATCACAATGATTACCACATATACTCTATCAGTTTCCTGAAATGTGAAAGCATGAGAATAATAGTACAACATTCTCTGGGCTTCTACTCATAGATGACCAGTTCCTGCTGTGTGTGCATGAGAAGGAGTTTGAGACCATTCATGTCAGGACATTTTCTTTTACCACTGGTAAGGTTTATGCTACTGCTGGTAGGGTTATGCTGCTGCCACTCTGCCCTTAAGGGTTCCAGTCCAGAGCAACAGGCATAGGACAGTTTCTCCAGAAGAAGGAATTATGCATCCACTGTATCTTCCAAGTAGTAGATTTCTAATGTCATGTAGTATCTGTGACACAAATATCAGCAAGTAGCCTCTCTCTATAAAAGCTAGAGTTCTATATCCCAGATCACTTATATTTGCTAAATTACAAGAGCCAAGAGCAACCATCAAAGCTACTTGCTGGCTGATTCTAAGAGAGAACATTTCACATTTTAATCAAGAAGAAATTCTATAGAGTTAGCAATGCAATTGGCAATGTTAATTATATAACCTTATGAAACAGGCATGTATTCTGAGAAAACTTAACAGTGATCACACAGAGACTGTTTTCTGTTGTTGTTTGTTTTCTAGGTTTTATTCTATGTGGATAGCAAAATGCCTTGACTTCTGAGAACAGCAACAGTCACAATACACACTTGAAGATTCATCAGTGATAGGACCTACCAAATCGATATTGCACATTAATTGGTCTTCCATATAAACGAATTCCATTCAGCAAAGCTATGGCATAAGACACTGATTCTGGGTGTTTAAAGCAGACAAATCCAAAAGACTTCGGCTTTCCTTCTCTGTCTTTGCATATAGTCACTTTGGTTAGTGGCCCAGCCTATAAGAAACTTAAAAATTATTTTCTCATAAATCCAAAGATTTTTTTTTACAATCAGATAAATCAAGTACATTTAACTTTAGACTAAAATAATCTTGTCAGTAATGCATCTTCCTAATAATAATCATCATACTTTCTCATAGTTTCACTCATTTTCTGGTTCATCGAAGAAACATTCACGGCAGTAAGAACATATTTTAGCTGATAGTTTCAAATCTTAAAAGGAAAAGAGAGGTAGGCTGCCCTATTGTCAGATTTAACAAATTAATTTAGAGAGCACTTAAATCTAAGATTAAAATACTATTCCGTCTCCATACACATTAAGAGTGTTGAATGCTGGGGCAGATGTGGCGCAGTGGGTTAAAGCCTCTTCGGCCTGCAGTGCTAGCATAGGTTCGAGTCCCGGCTGCTCTATTTCTGATCCAGCTCCCTGCTATTGCACCTGGGAGAGCAGTGGAGGATGGCCCAAGCCCTTGGCCCCTGCACCCACATGGGAGACCCAGAAGAAGCTCCTGGCTCCTGGCTTCGGATTGGCTCAGCTTCGGACTTTGCAGTCATTTGGGGAGTGAACCAGTGGATGGAAGATCTCTCTCTCCCTCTGTGTCTCTCTTTCTGTAACTCTGTCTTCAAATAAATAAAATAAATCTTTTAAAAAAGTGTTTAATGCAAATATAAATTGTAATGATGAATTCAATGTTAGTTGTTCTCAAAAAAAAAAAAGAAGAAAAACTGGCAACATTATATTATTATTATTATTGCCAAGAAGACAAAAACAATTCTTTATAAGAGAAACTAAATTTATCATGAATTTTGACCTAGTAATCCTACTGGGTAAATATTCCCAAAGCAAAAATGTTTTCATATGTTTAAGACTTATAACAGTGAAAAATTATACTCTAAATTCAGTAACTGGCGATATTTCTTGGTGTATAATTAAAATCAAGTAAAATATCATACATTATAAATATTCAGGTTGTATTCACAGAAATACCTAGAAAAAGTAATAGAGAGTAAAAAAGCAGGGTCAAATATCATAGAGAAGTGTTCATTACAACTGAGAAAAAATTACAGCAGCTCCACAATCAACAAAGGAAGCACTCACAAAGATCTAACCATAGCAGATTCAATGGTGAATGGCCCATATTCTTATGGTTATTTTTCACTGTATAGCTGGATAGATATATTAAAAATTGCATTTATTCTAAAGAAAAAGAATCATCTTCCTTAAAAGTTCTGCTGTGTCTTAGGATTCAGTTTTTTCTCATTTCATTCTCTATGTCACCTGTGGAATAACTCATCCAACCTTCTGGCTTCAACAAATCTATTTTTCCACTCATGTCTCTTTCATGGGGAAAGCCTCCTAGAGAAATGTATGTGATAGTACTTTAAACTCAACATGTTCAAAATGGAATTGTCTGTCCCTTCTAAACGTGTACTCTAGACTTTCTTAGTTAAAAGCTCAGCATCAATAAATCTTAGTTTCTCCCTTCAAAAGATAATCAGAAATTTGAAAGAAGCCAGTAGAAGATAAATATACAAGAAAATAAAACAACTTTAAAAACTAATTTATTTTCTTTTACTGTATTTGAAAAGGGGGGGCAGATGAGAGAGGGAGAGAAAGAGAGGGAAAAGGAGGGAGGGAGAGAGAGAGAGAGATATCTTTTATCTCCTGGTTTACTCCCTAAATACCTACAACAGCTGAGGGTGGGTCAAACTGAATTCCAGGAGCCTGGAATTCAACATGGGCATCCCAAGTGGGTGTTAGGGATTCAAGTACCTGAGCCATTCACTGCTACCTCCCAGGCTCTGCATAATCAGGAAGTTGGAATTGGAAGTAGAGCTGAGACTCAAACTGTACTACTAACATTAGATATACTGATTTACAAAGGTAGACACTAGGCATAAATGATTTTAATTTGGATATAAATCAATTTAGATATTCCAAAACATTTTGAAAGGTAAAATTCAATGGGATTTGGCCAGCTTAGTGGGTAAAGCCACTGTCTGCAGCACCAGCAACCCATATGGGCACCAGTCCCAGTTCCAGCTGTTCTACTTCTGATCCAGCTCCATGCTAATGCACCGGGGAAGCAGCAGAGAATGGCTCAAGTCCTTGGGCCCCTGCACCCACATGGGAGACCTGGAAGAAGTTCCTGACTCCTGGCTCCTGGCTTCGGATGGGCCCAGCTTTAGCTGTTGTAGCCATTTGGGGAGTCAAACAGTGGATGGAAGATCTCTTTCTCTCTCTCTCTCTTTCTCTCTCTCTCACTCTCTAACGCTACCTTTCAAATAAATAAATAAATCTTTAAAAAAAATTCAATGGGGCCAGTGTTATGCTGCTGTAGATTAGGCTGTGGCCTGCAACACTAGAATCCCATATGAGTGCTGGTTCAAGTCTTGCTTGTTCCCCTCTGATCCAACTCCCTGCTAATACACCTGGGAAAGAAGTGGAAGATAGCCCAAGTGTTTGGGCCCCTGCCCATATGGGAGATCCATATGCAGTTCTGGGTCCTGGTGTTGCAGCCCTTTTGGGAGTGAACCAGCAGATGAAAGAGGATCTCTTTTTCTATCTTCCTTTCTCTCTCTACAACTCTGCCTTTGAAATAAATAAATCTTAAATAAAAGATAAAATTCAACATGAGTGTTTGATATAGTGGTTAAGATGTCATTTGAGATGTGTGGGCATCTCATATTACAGTGTTTGGGTTTGAGTCCAGGCTATGCTCCCAATTCTAGCTTCCTGTTAACGTGCACCCTGGGAGGCACTAGGTGATGGTTCAAGTCCTGGGTCCCTGCCACCCACTTAGGAGACATGGATTGTGTTCCTAGCTCCTGTCTTCTGCAGACCCAAGCCCTGGCTGTTGAGGGCATTTGGGGAGTGAACCAGCTCATGAAATATCTCTGTTTGTTTGTCTTTCTCTGCCTTTCAAATAAATAATAAATTAAAAAAGTTATATTTTGCCAGTTTTAAGCCTTTCTATAAGATACCTCACCTGAGCAAATACCTCCAGTACCTAGGCAAAAATAAACACATTAACATGATTTTTCCCGATGTATTAAATATAATTTCCTTATCTATTATGTGATTAACATTTTGATTAGGTGGAAACTATGAAAAAGGGCTAGCACTGTGGCCTAGTGGGTAAAGTCACTATCTGCAGTGCCGGCATCCATAAGGGTGCCAGTTTGAGTCCTAGCTGCTCCATTTCCAATCCAGCTCTCTGCTAATGTGCCTGAGAAAGCAGTAGAAGCTAACCCAACTGCCTGGGCCCCTGTACCCATGTGGGAGATCCTGAAGAAGCTGCTGGCTCCTGGCTTCAGCTCCAGCCGTTGTGGCCATTTGAGGAGTGAACCAGCAGGTAGAAGTTCTCTCTCTGTCTCTCCCTGCCCCCCATCTCTCTCTGTAACTCTGACCTTCAAACAAATAAATCTTTTACAAAAAATAAATTATGAAAAATGAGAATATATATAGACTATGGATCTACAAAACTGGATTCAAAACTGGATTCAGTCATCACTGACTAGAAATAATGTGTGGGTATAAAGTGTCCCACTTATCAGCTCCCCCCGTCTGCTTTTTCTGGAGCTGATAAGTGATAAGTGCTTTTTCTGGAGACAATATGAAGAGCAATTTTTCTTTCTTTTCTTAGAGTGATAAGTTTCAAATGATATTTGATGGGAAAGAAAAGGATTAGTCTTTTAAAGAGGCAAAGTTATCCAGATGTCCATTAACTGAAGACTGGATAAAGAAATTATGGTATATATACCCAATAGAATGCTACTTGGTTGAGGAAGGAAGGGAGGGAGGGAGGGAGGGAGGAATCCTGTCGTTTTCAGCAAAATGGATGCAACTAGAACCATTATACTTAGTGAAATAAGCCAGTCTCAAAAAGACAGATACCACATGTTTTCCCTGATCTGTGTTAAATAGAGTACCCAAAATGTAATGTATTGGAGTAAAATTGACATTTTGGGATTTGATGATTGCTTACAGCCCTTGTCTCTACTGTTTAAGTGCAGTGTTTTTTCTTCATACTACTTGTTGAACTCTTTGTTCAGTGTAGGGTTAATCTTATGAGTATTATGAATAAATGGAAAATAGATCTTTGTAAAAATTAAGAGTGGGGATAGGAAAGGGAGGAGTAGGAAGGGTGGGAGTATGCGTGAGAGGGAAGGTAGGCCGGGAAGTGTCACTATGTTCCTAAATCTGTATATATGAAACTTGTGTACATTAAATAAAATCTAAAAAAATTTAAAATTAAAATTAAAAAAGCGGTTAAGTTAAAATGATGACCTATTAGAAAGATACACATAAAAAGTCTTAAAATCAACAGTACTTTTTCAATAATAGAAAGTTTTATGTCCAGGAGGGAAAATTATATTCCCAGAGAGAATTCTATCAAATTGTCTATATCTAATTCTTGGGTTGGGTAGGTTCAGTTAAATTAGAAGACAAAGATCCTTTCCAAACCAATAAGGCTATAGCTTTGTAGTGTGCTTTGAAATCAGGTATTGTGATACCTTGGTTTTTCTTACTCAGGATCACTTTGGCTATTAGGAGTCTACAAAGCTCTAGCAATTAAAATAGTTTGGTACTGGCATAAAACCCAATACATAGGGGCCGGCGCTGTGGCTCACTTGGTTAATCCTCCGCCTGCGGTGCCAGCATCCCATATGGGCGCTGGGTTCTAGTCCCGGTTGCTCCTCTTCCAGTCCAGCTCTTTGGTGTGGCCCAGGAGGGCAGTAGAGGATGGCCCAAGTGCTTGGGCCCTGGTCCAGCATGGGAGACCAGGAAGAAGCACCTGGCTCCTGGCTTTGGATCAGCACCGGCCTTAGAGACCCTTTGGGGAGTGAACCAATGGAAGGAAGACCTTCCTCTCTCTTTCTCCTCACTGTCTATAACTCTACCTATCAAATTAAAAAAAAATACATAAATCAATGGGACAGGATAGAAAGGCCAGAAATTTATCCATGTACATACAGCCAACTGATTTTTGCCAAAGATGCTCAGATCATACAGAAGTGTAAGGATTCTCTTCAACAAATGGTGCTGGTGAAACTGGATGTATGTATGTAGGAGAATGAAATTAGATCCATACCTTTCACCATATATAAAAATTAAGTCAAAATGGATCAAAGACCTAAATTTAAGACCTGAGACTATGAAATTAGGGGAAGAAAATATAGCGGAAACACTCCAAGACATTGGTGTAAGGGTCATGACCCCCAAACAAAGACACCAAAAGCAAAATTAAATAAACTGGATTACATTTAACTCAGAAACTTTTGCATGTAAAGGAAATGATCAACAGAGTGAAGAGACACCCAACAGAATGGGAAAAATACTTCCAAATCATTTATCTGACCAAGAAAATAACATCCCAAATATACCAGCAACTTAAAAAAAACTCAGCAATAAAAAGTCAATCCAGTTTAGAAATGGGCAAAGGGCATCAACAGACAGTTCTCAAAAGAAGAAATGCAAATGGCAACAAATATATTTTTAAAAATTGCTCAACATGACTAGCCATCAGAGAAATGCAAGTCAAACCTACAATGAGGTATCACCTCACACCTGTCAGAATGGCAAAAATGCAAAACACAGAGAATAACAAATGTTGGCAAAGATGTCGACAAAGAGGAACCCTTATACACTGTTGGTGGGAATGTAAATTAGTGCAAACACTGTGGAAAGAGTATGATTTTTTTAAAAACTAGAAAAAGACTTGCTATTGGATCCAGCATTCTCACTACTGGGTATACACCCAAAAGACTTGAACACAATGTATCAAAGAGATATGTGTACCACCATGCTCATAGCAGCACTGTTCACAATAGCCAAAATTGGGAATCAACCAAGGTGTCCAACATCAAATGAACGGGTAAAGACAATGTGATATATTCAAACTGGATTCAGAAACACAAATGCCCCATGTTCTCCCTTACATGTAGGAGCTAAAATTATAAAGAAAGAAAGAAATGTCTGTGTGTATCAGCACTGCTGCAAACACAGTTTTGTAAAATGCTGCTTTAGCTCTTTGTCAAACCAGTGGTTAAGAATATTCTACTAGTATAGTTTAAGTGATATGTGATTACTTTAAATTTACCTTATATGCGTGAAATGGCCATGTCTCTGATAATTGTTTATAGCTGTTGTCTATATTCCTACTAATGTCTTTTGCTTTTTATTTGTTGAACTTCTTATTCAGTGAAGTATTAAGCCTTTTTACTGTAATGCAAATTTAAAATATGCTATCTCAAAAACTAAAAACAGAAAGGGAGAAGAAACGAGGGTGGGAGGGAGAAAATGGATGGGAGAGAGAGGGAGGGAAGGGAAAACTATTATGTTCTTAGAATTTTATCTACAAATCACATTGAATTTGTTAAAAACTAATTAAAAGGTAAAAAAAAATAAAGAACCCCTTTCACCTCTGATACTCATACTCAATCTACAAGTTTAGCTTTGCAATTGTCTCTCTTGGGATTTTACCTTATTTTGATGGGGGAAGTTAATCTTGATTTCTCTTGATGTTTGTGTTATTACCAATTGTACAAATTGAGTGCTGTTAATTTGAAAACCCAAATTTGGAATTCCAGAGCATTTCCAATTTTTCAGATTTTGAATTAGTGATACTCAATCTGTAAAGTATTTGCAAATATTAAAATAAAATCCAGAATCATAAACACATCAGGTCCCAAGTATTTCAGATAAGGGAAACTCAACCAGCATCAGTAGCACCAGCAGTAGTAGTAGCAGCAGAGACCAGCAGTAAGGGCAGGCTCAGCTTTCTCACCCATTTTCCTTAGACCAGCTGATTATTCTATTTTCCTTAGACCAGCTCAGGTGTTCACTCAATCTCATCATGCTGTCCACAGTTTTCCTCTCACCTGACATTTGAAAAAAGCGGCCAAAGTCACATTGCTGACTTCCGAGCTCACAGTCCAAATCACTTCTCTACAGTTAGTACCCCATGCTTTTGTACATTCCTCTAAGTCACAGTAATTAACTTTGGTTCCCTTTTTAGGAAGACCAAGGAGCGCGTGTTACATTTGTATGGCCAGAACTGGATTTGGTATCTGCTCTGCAGTTTGGGATCATAAACCCTTTAGCTGAATGGCGGAATAAGGACCCCTCTAGAGGAAGTGAGACCTAGGTGACTACAACAGGTGAGTGTGTTTACAAACCACGGGAGGCTTCAGCCTGGAGGTAGGAGGTCTCTAGAAAAGTTTCCCAAGATTCTTTTGTACGAAATAAAGCGCCTTGGCCACGGAAGCAACTGGTCACAGCCATGCCAAATTGGCAGCTCCACCACCTCAAACCTCGTTTATCATGCTAGAATAAACATACTCCCAGCATCAAAGGGCCTGGGCAATGACTAATGCATAAAGGAACATTTAAAAAGCTACGCCTCCCATGTCGCGGCGGTAAGGGGCACGGGTGCTTATGGACCTGAGGGAAGACGAAGGCAGGGCTGCTTTCTGTCGGGCCCCAGGGTCCCCCACCGCCCAGCAGCCCCCTGGGGGAGATCTCAGCGCTGGGGGGTCGGAGGACCCCAGCTAGTGGCCCACCACCGGCGTTCCACAGCGGGGATGCGGATAAAGATGGGGCTGGGGCTCACACTAAGCCACTCCGCACCCCAGCCTCTCCCCTGAGAGACAGGTCCATCAACACCCAATTAAACGGAAACCAAGCACAGGAGGGGGCGGCCAGGGGCCGGGCTCCCGGGGGGAGGGGGGGCAGGTGAGCTCCACCCCTTCTGCGCCCCTTCCCCGCGGACGGTACCTGAAGGAACAGCTCGTAAAGAATCTCCTCCCGCACGCGGGCCTCTAAATTGCCCACAAACACCGTCCTGTCGGCCTCCTCCTGAGCAGGGAACATCCCTTCGGTGCGGGCCCCAGGATGGAGGAGGCGCCGAGACCCCGCCCCCTCGGCCGGCTTCGCCGCGCCGCCGGGGCGGAGGGGGCGGGACCGGCGCCGGGCGCGCGCGTGCGCAGGGGCGGGGCGAGGCTGCCGGGCACGCCCCCAGCGCCCCGCGGGAACCGCCCGCCCTCCAGGCTGAGGAGGTGAGAGGTGGGTCAGTGTACCTGGGTGGACCCTCTGCTTATGGCTGACCCTTTATTGTCTCTGGCACTTCGTTAGTTGATTTTTAATGTATTTGACCAATGTTTTAAAGAAAATGACCGCAGAGAAAATTTAAGATACCGCTGGTAGTAACCTCACCAGAGAAGCTCCTGGGCTAGTGAGCGAAGGTTAGGTTTGTCTCCAAAGGGTAAAGGAGTAAATCACTTATATTGTATAATTAAACTATTCGTAATCAGGCTTTGTAAGAATGAATACCTGCAGGGGCCGGCGTAGTGGGCTAAGCGCCCACCAGAGGTGCTGACATCCCATTAAAGGCTCCGGTTCCTGTCCCGGCTGCTCCTCTTCTAGTCCAACTCTCTGCTATGGCTGGGAAAGTAGTAGAAGATGGTCCAGGTGCTTGAGCCCTTGCGCCCACGTGGGACACCCCGGGCCTGGCTCCTGGCTTCATGATCAGCCCAGCTCCCGCCATTGCCACCATCTGGGGAGTGAACCAGCAGATAGAAGACCTTTCTCTCTGTCTCTCCTCTCTGTAACTCTACCTCTCAAATAAATAAAATCTGAGGAAAACAAAACAAAATAAAACAAAACACCTGAATGGGTACAGCAGATCACGTTGAGTGAAATAAGCCAAACAAGAAAAGAAATGTCAGTGTCTATCATCCGTATTGCTGCAAATATAGTTTTGTAAAACGTTTATACCTTTGTCAAACCAATGGTTAAGAATGTAATACCACCACAGTTTTAATGACCTGTGATTACTTTAAAATTTACTGTATATGGGTGAAATGGCCATTGTCTGTATTCCCACCGAACTAGGGTCTTTTTGCTTTGTACTGAGTAAATTTCTTACTCAGTGAAGTATTAAGACTTTTACTGTAATCTAATTTTAAAATATGTTATATCAAAAACTAAAAAGGGAGAAGGAAAGAGTGGGAGGGAGAGACGGTGAGGAAGGGAATATTATTATGCTCTTAGAATTGTATCTACAAATCACATTCACTCTGTTAAAAACTTTAAAAATTTAAATGTAAAAAGTATGAAACATAAATTTTAAAAAAAGAAACCCTTACGCAGGAAGCGTTACCCAGGTAAGTCTTTGAAAATGGCAAGAGATTTTAGGTGGACTCCAGAATTCATTTGAACTTGACCAGACAGGCTACCGCAAGCAACACTAGGAATAGTAGAGCAAATTTTGTGACTGAAGCAAGAATTCTTGAGGATGACAGTGAGATTATAACAGTATCCTGCAGTGGGATCAGAGCTAAGCTTTGTATGTTATATACCAGTTTATTCTTGGGGGCCACCATTATGGTGTAGTGAGTAAGGTTACAGCCTGCGATGTAGGCATCCCATACAGGCGCAGGTTCCAATCCCCGCTGCTGCACTTCTGATCCAGCTCCCTGCTAATGCTAACAAGAGAAGGTGACTCAAATGTTTAGGCCTCTGCATCTGCATGGGAGTCCCAGATGAAGCTTCTGGCTTCAGTCTGGCCCAGCCTGGCCACTGTGGTCATCACTTGGGGAGTGAACTAGCAAATGGACTATTTCTCTCTCTCTCCTTTCTCTCTCTCCTTCACTCTCTGAAATTCTGCCTTTCAAATAAACTAAATAAATCTTTTTTGAATAAAAGGTTGATTCTTAGTTGGGGAGGATTTTTTTAAATCTTAAAAACAATAAAGATAATTAAAAGGAAGAGCAAAGAAATCTCAGTACTTAGGTGCATCATTAACTGTTAACTTAGCTTCCTTTCTGAAGATAACGTATGACCATGTAGAACCCTGGACTAGTCCTGGGAGTATCATACAAGTATTAAGGACACAATTTGGTCTTTAGTTTGGTGTACTGGTGAGAATTAATTTCTACTGGGTTGATGGACCAGAAAAATAATCTGCCCTAATGAAAAGGAATGTGTCTTGGGAAATCCTAATTTCTGTTGAACTCTGACATTACTTATTTTTATGACATTGAGTAATTTCTCTTTGGAATTCTGATTCTGTTTCTTCAGAAATTGATATTGCTAAAGATAATTACTTTACTCAGCAGGTATTTTCTGATTACTTCCTCTGTGTCAGCCACTGTCATTAATCCTAGTGAAAGAAAAGGAAGTTTAGAAACCCACATAGTGAAAGAGGCAGAACTTCTATGCTTACAAGTGGCATGTTTGTCAATAACTTCAGTGGTTACTTTCAGTTGATCTATCGGGAGTCTGTAAGTCCTTACTCCTCCCCACGATGTTTTTTCTTTTTTTGCTGTCTTTCCTCTCTCATCAATATAATTGCAGTAGAGTAGAAAGGGGTTAAGGAAACAAGCACATTATACATGAATAACAAATATATGTTGATGCAATGAATGGATACTTGCAAGTCTCGGCTATGTGTAGATCTTTTGATATATTTGGGTTCGTTTACCTCATCAGTCTTACCTGAACTAATACGTTTTTCCCTTAATAACTTTTCAGATGCTGCTTATCTGGGAGCTGCACCTTCAGGTTTCATAGTAAAATATCCAGTTCATATGTAAGATTGCATACGATAGACCTTTATATTTGTAAATAATTAATGAGCATATCTGTGTTATATTTGTTTAAAATTTCATCATCCTGTTTCTATAAATGTGCATGATTCTGATGCCCTTTTGACTGTACATAAGTTTATGATCCTTGTAATTCTAGAGTACTAATTCAATGTAATGAGTTCTGAAACTCATGCAGTGAGCTGTTTGCTCAGAATTTGACCTTAATATATCATTTTCTAATTTTTCACATACTGTGTCTCCTAACTTATATTGAATGTATCTAGGGTAATAAACCCAGAAGTAGCTAAAAATAATTTAAACATTTATTAGACCATTAGTCACATGTAAGATTTTATGTGTTAAATGCATGGAACACTATAATACATTTGTTTTTCCTCATTCATATCAGAATGTCTTATAAGCTGTATGAACACATCAATACTGAAAATGTGTTTATATAACACCTGTATACACACATATTAACACACATATGCACACACATACACACACATGAGAGCTCCTTTTTTCTCTCACCTCTATTCAGCAGATGCGTCCTCCCTTTTGTAACTCACCCAGACAGCATCGTATCCCCCAAGGATTCTCTCTGCAGCCTAGATCAGCTAGTTTCCCCACCTCTGTGGTTCTCTAGTCCCCTAGGAATATTTCTTTCAAGTCCTCCTGACTGTGAGCTGCTACTGGATAAATATATTTTGGGACCTAGGACTTATCTGTATTTCTATAATATTGAATGCAGTAGTTGTTGGGATAATACAACTTGAGTAAATGAACATTGCTACTTGGCATATTCATCTAAGTCTATGTCTGGGAAGTTTTGTGGCTTCATAAAAAGTTGCATAAATGAATGAATTAATGGAGAAACTTGGACATTTGCTGTTAAGAGTCTCTACTGGATGCTTTTAAGCAATTATGACATAATTTTATCTCTATTTTGATCCTAATCAAATGTTTCAAAGTAATCATAGCTTTTTGGTGTTGTTTTAGATGTGTTTAATGCTTATTATATAGAAATATCTTTAGAATGTAAAGAAACAAGCAAGAAAGTAAAAATTACAAATGGATCTGCCATACAGTAATAAACATTTTGGAGTAAAATCTTCCAAAAACAAAGTATGCATATAGCATATTTCAGAAAAAAAAATCAGACCGTATATAATATTGTTTTTTAGCTTGCCTTTTCCATACTAAATCTGTGATGGAGGCTTTGTTTACCAATGAATGTCTATCCACATGATTAAGTTTAATCTACAGTATGTACATAATTAGCCTAATCATCCACTGTTAGACATTCCTATAGTTTCCATTTTCTGCCTGATATAAGAATGCTTAGAAGAACATTGTTGCTGAGACATCTTTATGCACATGCAAAGCATTGCCATACATAAAGTACCTTGGAAGTTTCTGTAGAAAGGTACTTTGGATTTCTGTAGGAAAGCTTGAATGAGTAATTGCCGAGTCAAAGGATAAGATTATTAAACATTTTTGATATATTGCTACATTACAGTTTGTGTCAAAATAGGTTTTGATAAAAAAAGATCATTCCATCTCAATAAATATGTTAGCTATGATTATTACCTCTGTGTATATAGAAGCATGCCTGGTGCGTGGAGCTCAATGAATTTTATATCATCATAATCACCGTTATCATTATTATCAACCTCATTATTACCTTTATGTTAATTACATTGTTTGCATGTCTGTAAGTTTCTTAAAATATTTTTAAAATTTATTTATTCATTTGTTTGAAAGGCAGAGTGACAGAGAAACAAAGTAGAAGTGTGTGTGTGTGTGTGTGTGTGTGTTTGTATGTGTGTGTATTTGAGAGAGAGAGAAAGAAAGGGACAGAGGGAGAGACAAACAGGCAGATTTTACATCTGCTGATTTACTCTTTAAATGTTGGAAACAGCTGAAACTGGGCTGGGCCAAATCCAGGCGCTGGGAACTCAACACAAGGCTCCCAAGTGGGTTGCAGGGACTTAATTACTTGAGCCTTCACCTGCTGTGTATCAGCGTGTGCACTAACAGGAAGCTGGGGCTGGGAGCACAGCCAGGACTTGCACCTAGGCACTGTCATATAGGATGCAGTTTTTCCAAGCAGCACTTTACTCACTGAACCCAGTGCTCAACCTATCAATCATTTTTTTTGTCCAAGAAGGACTAAATAAATACATAAATAAACAATACTTCCTAAATTATTGGCATTTTTATAGTATTTAGTCATTTCTTGATATACTATTTAATACGGTAGTCACTAATAACCCCAAATTTCTCATATTGACAGTAAAATATATAATATTAAACAAATATAATTTACTATTTTGAAGCTATGCTATGTTTTATATTTTCTGAAATGTGAAGTTCATATTTTTCAGTATGAGCTCATTAAAATCATTAAGATGAAAATAATGTAGAAGAGGCATAGTGTCACATCAAAAACACAGAGAAGAGAAATTATGTTAAATAGCAAAGATTTATGTTTTCATTAAGCATAAACTTAGGAACAATTTTTTTGTATTTTTTTTAAAAATTATTTTATTTATTCGAAATGCAGAACTACAGAGAGGGATAAATAGAGACCTTCATCCCCTGATTCATTCTGCCAGAGGCTCCAAGGCCAGAGCTAGGCCAGGCCAAAGCCAGGAGACTGGAGCTTCATCCAGGTTTCCCTCTTGGGTGCCGGGGCCTAAGGACTCAGGCCATACTCCACCTTCCCAGTCACATTAGAAGGGAGCTGGTTGGGAAGTGGAGCAGCCAGGACTTGAACTGGTCCCATTTGGGATGCCTGCACTACAGGTGGCAGCTTTACCTGCTACGCCACAGCTCTGGCCCCAAATTTTCATAATTTTTAGTCAATATCTCATTTTATTTTATTTATATATTTATTTATTTATTGACAGGAAGAGTGGACAGTGAGAGAGACAGAGAGAAAGGTCTTTCTTTTGCCCTTGGTTCACCCTCCAATGGCCACTGTGGCCAGCGCACCACACTAATCCGAAGGCAGGAGCCAGGTGTTTCTCCTGGTCTCCCATGGGGTGCAGGGCCCAAGCACTTGGGCCATCCTCCGCTGCACTCCCGGGCCACAGTAGAGAGCTGGCCTGGAAGAAGGGCAATGAGGACAGAATCCGGCGCCCCGACCGGGACTAGAATATCTCATTTTAATGTGGACTTATGAAATACCCACAAGACCTCAGATTAGTTTCAGCTGATTTATAATAGAAATGAGACACTTCTGTTCTTTTTTTTAAGATTATTATTTATTTATTTGAGAGGTAGAGTTACAGACAGTGAGAGGGAGAGACAGAGAGAAAGGTCTTCCTTCTGTTGGTTCACTCCCAGAATGGCTGCAGCGGCCGGAGCTATGCCAATCTGAAGCCAGGAGCCAGGAGCTTCTTCCTGGTCTCCCATGTGGGTGAAGGGGCCCAAGGACTTGGGCCATCTTCTACTGCTTTCCCAGGCCATAGCAGAGAGCTTGATTGAAAGAGGAACAGCCGGTACTAGAACCAGCGCTCATATGGGATGCCAGCACTGCAGGCGGAAGATTAATCTACTGCACCACGGCACCGGCCCCAACACTTCTGTTCTAATAGTATTTTTGTAGTGTTACCAAAACTTGAATCTTCTAAGAGCAAATGTAATTGCTGAACTTGTAATCCATGTACTTAGAATTATTCTCAATTTTTTTTCTTATTGAAGCGAGTTGCTTGCAGGAAAATAAAATAAAAATTAAGTAAGCATATCAATAGGAAACCTATAATAATTTAAAAATTATTGACATTAAAATTATTTTTATAATTTAAGCCTGAAGAGACAGCCTAGACTCTTGCATTTTAATATAGCCCTCTGCATTTTGGATGGAAAAACACATAGCCATGAAAACCCTCAATTTTACCCTGAACATCTGGATGGGATATGGATTTCATTATTGATTTTATGGTATATAAAGACAACTTAGTTTGTAATCAAAATGAACATAAACAACCACCTTTTTGACCCTTCCCATTTCTGGCATTTTCTAACAACGTATTTGCTCCAGGCGTTCAACAAACATATTTATTCTTCCAAACCACATCTGAAATTCTGAGGTTAAAAGGAATAAAGAAAGATATAATTAGCTTTTGCATTCCCTTAAATTCAACTTGTGCAGCTGCAGGTTTGTTTGTGACTTATTCCAGAGTCTTTGACTTAAAAATCTTTCTCACAACCACAAGCCAAATGTTGAAACCACCTCACCTTTCTCGACAAAGGAGGAGGAGCAAAAGTCAGTCCACTTTTACACTGAAACCTGCCAGACTCCGACAAGCCTACCACAGAGAAAGCTTCCTGAGCCACAGAATTGCTTTCAGTGAATCTGAGTGCCTTGTTCACTTTTATCCGATTCCAAATGAGAGTGTACATTTTTCTCTGTTTGATGTGCTGGGTAAGATCTGGTAAGAGACTCACTAATGATTTATTTTTACCAGTTGTGTATAAAATAATTAGTATGGTCTGAATTCTACATAAAGAATGTTGTAACGTATGAAAACAGATTCCTGTGAAGAAAGTTTGTGTAGGAGTGTGTTTGTGTGTGTGTGTGTGTGTGTGTGTGTGTTTGGGCAATTGAGATCTGTATTTTTTTTTTTAACTTTCCAGATCATTAGTAAATAGAAAACCTTTTAAAAGATGATATAGATAGTAAATAGAAACATTCAAAGGAAATAATAAATTAGTAAAAAGAAATTCATTCCGTATTTGAAAATCATGACTTAAAAATGTCTTATTTCAATTTCATTTGTTTAAATAGCCCTGTTATTGAAGAAAATTCTTACATGGGTAAATGCTCTATTGCAAAGTCAAGAAAATTACCACACACTACAAATTTTTTCTCATTTAGCATACTAAAGACACAAATTTACTTATGGAAATAAGGTAGAAAGTTATTTTTCTGGTTTATAGTAATAAGATTTATTAATTTAAGTAATATCATGTACTACTTGTATAGCAAGGA